CTTCACACTGGCAGGGAACGCAGGGATCCCTGCCCGGGGCTAGCGCCAAAGGAAAGCATCTCCTGCAAGCATTCAAGGGGCCACCTGTAGTTGGACACCAGACCACTGGGTTTGTGTGCGTTCACAGTTAGAATTAAATCTGGCAAGGGATCTGAAAGATAACAGGAAGAGCTTCTATAGGTATGTAGCAAATAAAAAGACAGACTAGGGCAACATGGGCCCTCTCCAGAAGCTATCAGGAGAACTGGCTACCCTGGATTTGGAGAAGGCTGAGGTTCTTAATGACTTCTTTGCCTCAGCCGTCACTGGCAAATGCTCTGAGCACACCACCCAAGTCCTGGAAGGCAGATGCAGGGACTGTGAGAATGAAGACCTTCGGCCCACTGTAGGAGAGGATCTGGTTCAAGATCATCCTAAGAACCTGAATGTGCACAAACCCATGGGAACTGATGCAGTCCGTCTGCGGTTCCTGAAGGAGCTGGTGAATGAAGTTGCAAAGCCACTGTCCATCATATTTGAAAAATCATGGCAGTCATGTCAAGTTCCTGACGACTGGAAAAAGGGAAATATAACCCCCATTTTCAAGAAGGGGAAAATGGATGACCCAGGGAACTACAGACCAGTCAGTCTCACCTCTGTGCCTGGCAAAATCTTGGAGCAGATTCTCCTGGAAGGCATGCTAAGGCACATGAAAAACAACAAGGTGCTTGGTGACAGCCAGCATGGCTTCACTAAGGGGAAATCCTGCCTGACCAATCTGGCGGCCTTTTGGGTGACATGGTCTAGTGCGAGATGGCAGTGGGGCTGGATCTAGGTGATCTTAAGGTCCTTTCCAGCCCTCACTGTTCTATGGCTTTATGATTCTGTGAAGCTCAAAGGAAGAGCAGGTGTCAGGTTGAATATTGGGGTCTTTGAGCATCTGCTGTCGGCCAGATGCCTGCAGGAGGAACTTATCCCTTCATTTTTCAGGTGGAGGCAGCTTTGCATCCTTTTCCGTGTTTTCTCCCCTGCCTTTCACAAAGAGCAAAGGAGAGCTGCATTGCTTAAGGCTGTGAGAAGGGTTTTGCAGGCTGTAGTTTTTCTTGAGCAGACAGCTACAACCCGCCTGCATGTAAAGGGGGTGGGCGGTGATCAGGGGCTTGGTTTGCTGGGTTTCTGGGGCAGGTTAAGACAGCCAGCACTCTCAACACAGTGTCACTGTCCACTTGGTTTGTCTGTTTCTTAACACCCATTTAAGGGTCCTGTGTCAGTAGCCCCTCGAGAAGGATGGAGGATGCCCTCCCCCTCCATAATGACCATCTCCCCGCTGGGGTTCAGATTGGCTTCTGAACAGCTGAACTGCTGGAGGCTGTAGAGCTCTGCTTCTCCCTCTCTCTCTCCCAGGGATCTCTGCAGGGAATATGCACCACCTGAGGTTTGGAGACGAGAGGCAGCAGTACTTCTGTGTCATTGGCAAGGCCCTGGAGGATGTCTGTGAGGCCGAAAAGCTTGCGGAAGCAGAAATTGTCCTCTCAGCCTCCTGCTGGGAGCTATGTGAGAAGCACAGGCTCAGAACCAGCCATATTGCGGGCAAAACAGCTGTGAAGGTAGGTGGATGGGACAGCATCTAGAGCCATTCTGAGGACCTGGACCTGAAGGAGGGAGGCCTCAGAAAGCTGAAGAGCTGAATGTGGAGAGAGTTGTAGCTGTGAAAGGGGAGAGCAGCTGATGCTCTTGTCCTTCTATGTTAGGAGTAACTCTGGGCTGGGCTTGCTTCGTTTGAGGGGTCAGGAGGCACTGGAAGAGTTTTGGCCCCACCAGCAGTGTCCTCCGTGGGTCACGGAGCTGTTGACAGCTGGGGGATGCTTGGAAGACGTCTGCTCAGCTCCAGTGTTTCTGAGGAAGCACTGCTGTCCTGTCCAGCCAGATAGGCTTCTTCTCCCCTTTTCTGGACAGTGACAGTGGAGGGCAGGATCTGTCCCCTGGGACTCCTGGAGAAGCCAGTGTCAAGTGCTTTCCTTCTGTGTACCTTCAGGTTACGGGCATGAACCAGATGTCTCTGTCGGAATGCCAAAATGTTTTAGACAAGCTTCCACAGAAGGAGAAGTGCTGCTTCACGGAAAACGAATGTGAGTGCCAGATTCACCTTGTTTTGGTTTTGCTTGGAAACGTGGGGCCTGGCTGCTGCAGGGGTCAGGGATGAACTACCGCTCCCCTCTTCCCCTCTCAGTTAGCAGTCATGCTTTTGGCCCTCTTGTGCATCATCTGGGGCAGTTGCTGCTGCTGCCATCTCCTTCCTGCCCTAAGCACCTGCAGGTGGCAACACAAGCAAACGCAGGAGTCTCTCCCCTGTTGCCAGTGCTAGCCCCTGCTTTCCAACAGCTCGTAGTCCCATCTTCCCACAGCAACCGTGTGTGTTTCCTCTCCGCAGATGCTGTCAGGCCTGCTCTTTTCTTGAACCCTGATACTGATGTGGGAGACATACTTAGTTACATCCCAAAAGCTGTTCTCAGGAAGGTACGCCTGGGCCGTTGCTGCTGGGGCTGCTTTTTTTGCAGGGCAGAAGAAGCGGTGCATTCAGAGAGGGAGTTTCCATGAGAGCAAGCCAAACAAAGAAAATGCATCCCGAGATGACAATGTGGGCAAATTGGGCCAAGGGGCACAGGTGCTGCACCACTGGATGAGTTGTCCTCGGAGAGATGGGTGGTGGGGCAGACATTTGCATCTCTTGTCTTTTCTGTGGGTATGGCTCTTCATGTTCTGTGGACGTGATGGCAGGATAGAGGGGAGAATCCACTGAAGCCCCATGAGCATCGCTCAGGGTCACCACTCATGTCCATAACTGTCCCAAGATGGGGTGTTACCGGAGCGCCCTTCTCGCCTTTGTCATTTGTGTTCTGATTTGGTATCTGACTGCTGCAAGCTGGGCAGCCTGCCGACCATTTAAACCGAGAGGAGGATCTTCTCTTCCCCTACTAGTACCTGCTATTGCCAGGACACCAGCTCTCCCTTTGTACCTGGCGTGGGCAGCCCCTGGGAGAGCAGGCTTGTGAAGCTGTCATGCTCTTGTCTTCCAGCTTGAAGACAGAGTGCCGCAGGACTTCCTCTGTGAGCTACGGCCAGTCACCATCCTCTTCCTCCACCTGAATTTTGATACAAAGGACATAGTATCTTTCCGTAGTGTCCTCAGTGAAGTCAGCAGCCTGATGCAGGAAATCATCTGTCCTCACAAGGGTGAAGTGAACAAAGTCTTCCTGTTTGACAAAGTGAGTGTGAGGTGGAATCATCTCCCCCCAACCCAAGAGGGTGGATACTGAGCAAGAGGGGAAGATTCCTTCTTAGGCATTGTGGCAAGATGTGCTGCATCTGTCCTTGGCAGGGCTGTACATTCCTGTGTGTGTTCGGACTCCCCGGAGTAAAGCTGGCCCATGAGAGCATTCATGCCTTGCAGAGTGCTTTTCAGATCTTCAACTCGTGCTCCAAGATCATTGCAAAAACAGGGTGAGTGTCTGGTGGGGCTGAGGGAGCGCGTGCTGCCTGGGCCAGCGTAAAGCAGAGGAAGAAAGAGTGTTGCGTCTAGCTTACCCTCCCCTGTCCTCCCTTCCTTGGCAGGAAGGAAACAGTGCCCTGAGAGGTGGCAGGCAACCCCTGGGCTTATCCCTGGGCAGCCAGGCAGAGTGTCTCCAAGCACACCCTGCTAGCCACCATGCTGGAACGAGCCCTAGTGAAGGCGAGAGGCTCCTTGGTGCCAGAAGCAGCACCTTCTGGGTGACTGGCCTGTGGACAGTGATGGGGCCTAGACACCTGATCTTACATTGCTGTCATCACAGGCAGTGACACTGTGGCACCTTCTTCCCTCCCTCTTTTCCCACTGGTCACAGGTCACAGCTCAGGGAAGGGGGTCTCAGGAGAAGTGCCCAAAAGTTCCTGCCTGTGCTCTAAGCCCTGTTCCTTGTCCTTGCCGCCTGGGTCCTTTACAGCCCTGAGCTCTCTGTACCCCGAACCCCAGGCTGGCAGGGCAGGATGGCCAGTGGCCCAGGCTAGTGCTGAGGGGAGATGCGGGAAGAGATGAAGCTGGGTGGGCAGGACTGCACCTGGAGCGCCTCTGAAGCCGTGTTGTTTCCCTGTGTGCCAGGACAGCGTCTGTGTCTGTTACCAGTGGGATGGCGTTCTGTGGCCTCATTGGCCACCCTCTGAGGCACGAGTACACAGGTACAAGCATGTGCGTGCGGTGTGGGAAACTGGCGTGAGCTGTTGGGAAGAGGAAGACAGGCTGGGAGAGTGCCTGCCCAACAACCAGCCAGGAATGGCCCAGGCAGCACCAGCCCTGGGCTGGGGCGGGACACTGGGCTCCACAGCTGGTTGTTCCCCTGGGATCTGCTTAACCCACTGTGGGGCTGCGGGTGTCGGATGCAGGGCAGCCGTTGGTCTGGAAGGGCACTGTGGAGCTGGTGGCACAGGTACATCACTGTGTGCTCTTTCTTCATCTCTCTGGCAGTCATTGGCCAGAAGGTGAACTTGGCAGCCCGGATGATGATGAGCTACTCTGGGCTGGTGACCTGTGATAGCACAACCTGTGCCAGCTCTGGGCTGCCCTCTTGCTACTTCAAGGAGCTGCCGGAGAGAAAGATGAAAGGCTTCAAACATCCTGTCACTGTCTATCAATATGTGGGGATCACCACCAACAGGTGAGTGTCCTCTGAGAAGTCTGGATGAGGGGATGGTGGCATCAAGGGTCCAGCTTGGCCAGCATAGAGGAGTTCTGCAGAGAGAGCAGAAGCCGCTCTCCATTCACTGTGGATGAGACGGTCAGAAGCCCTGGTGTGGGAGGCTTTTTACCTCTCTTCCCTGCTGTTTCCTCTTGCTGGGAGAGTGGGAGTGAAACCACAGGAATGGGGAAGGTTTTGTTTCGGTAGACACAACCTGGCTTTCAGGCTCTGTCCAAATGGCTTTCAACTGCGCTTTCCGTGCTGTGCTCGCTCTACCACATGCCCTGGTAATGCTGACCCAAGAAGGTTTTGTCCTAGCTGCTCTTGAGTGGGAAGCTTTGGGCCAGTCTGGTTCCCATGGATAAAGGTGGACCCTCAGGACGTTCTTCATCATGTCTTCCTCCTCAAACCCGGGCTCTTCCTCTGGGCCAGGATTTGACCTTCTTTTTGGATGGTGGTTTGAATGTTAGTCTCTGAAAATACAGGAAGACTTAAGCCAGAGGTGCCAGGTGCTTGGAATCCCAGCCCATCGGGTCCTTGTTTCCAAGACTCTCGTTTTTTCCTGGCCAACGCAGTAAAGATATCTGCTAACCAGCAGCTCACTCTTGCTTCTTTCACATGTCTCTGGGTCTGGCCTCTGTTGACGGACTCTCAATATATTCTCTCGTCCTGGTGTGGCCGTTGGGTTTCTTAATGCTTAAAGCTCTCTCAGCATGCCAGCTTGAACTTTGGTGGGGGGGAGCATGCAGGGGATAACATGCCGCTCGAAAGAAAAACAGGTACCCTGAGGAGCACATCCAGCCCCTCCATGCCAGGCTGCTTCTTGATGTCCCTTGGCTTCTAACCAGCTAACTGACTTGTATTTTCTTTTTCCCCTGCTCCTAGCATATTTGGCATGGCTCTTGCCATGAAGATGCCAGATAACGCCTCCTTGCTGGGTATGTGGAGAATGCCTTGCTCTTCTGAACCCCAGTTTCTTCCCCTCAGTAACTTGTATTGGGAACGGAAAAGGTTTTGCTGGGGATAATGTTGCCTGCAGAGGCCCTGAGGAAGTGCTGGCTCTCTCAGTGCCTACTTAGTTGATATCTTTGGGGTGGGAAGCAGGGTGAGGCGCTCGGTGATCCCAGGCATGCTTCAGACCTGATAGGAAGGTTTGTTTCAAGCTGCTCACACCCTGGGGGCTAAACCAGTCCTTGTCCTTGGGGTCAGGAAAGAGATTTCCTTCTGCTAGACTGATGGGGAGTTTTGGTGGTTGGTTCTCCCCCTTGTACTCCTCAGAGGTGCTTTCTTGGCAGCATCTGCTTGTAAACATGGAAAAGTCAAGCATCACGGACGCCTTTAATCACTCAGTGTCTTGCTGGATGTTTTGGGCCCTGTCATAGGTTAACCCCGGTAGGGAACTCAGCCCCACACGGCTGCTCACTCCCCACAGTGGGATGGGGAAGAGAACTGGAAGGGTAAAAGTGAGCACACTGGATACGGAGAGCTTCATAGGTAAAGCAGCTGCTGTGCATCCATGACAGGCAAAATCAGGCATTCTTTCACTGCCTCCTGGTGGCAGGCAGGTGTCCAGCCATTCCCAGGAAAGCAGAGCTTCAACATGTGTATCAAGGACTTGGGAAGACAAACACAGGAACTCGTAATGTGCCCCCTTCCTCCTCCTTTTCCCCAGCTTTTCTTGTGAAGCACAGCATCATATGCAATGAAATAAGCCAGCTGGGGTCTGCTGTTGCAGCTGTGCCCCATCCCAACTTCTTGTGCACCCCCAGCCTGCTTTTGCTGGCAGGGTGGCATGAGAAATAGAAAATGCCTTGATGCTGTGCAAGCCCTCTTTGGCAAGAACTAAAACACGGCTGTGTATCAACACTGATGTGCTCTGTGGCCAGTCGTACAGCCAGGAGAAGATGTTCTAAGTCTGTTTGGGACACAGGTGCCTGAAGCAACTCAGATCATCCCTTCCAGCCTTGTACTGGATCCCTGAGGGGATTTGCATGGGGCTGTCTGAATCTCTGTGGGACAGGGCATCCGCTACCACTCTGAGGAAGGCAGAGGTGCAAAAGCTGGGACAAGAGGGTTGGAAGGCAGCAGGGGTATCGTAGGCTGCCAGATGTGGTAGTGGGAGGGAAGCTGTGGTGGAGGGTGCCAGCCAAAGGGATGGCTCTTTGCTTTCTAGCATGCCCCAGCAGCTCATTTTCTTGTTTGTCTTCACAGGTCGGAAGAAGGAGATTGACCTCTTTGTCAACTGCTTGGAAGCCTCTAACCGTTTTGGACAAAGACACATACTGGCATTTGAGGGCGCAAGGGGCGCTGGGAAGAGCCAATTACTTAATCACCTGTCCCAGTTAGGCCAGTCTGCTGGCTGCAGGTACAGGGTTTTGTCCTGTAGTTTTGGGACACTGCTTCTTTCCATCCCTGAGAGCCATGGAACGCTCCAGCCCCTTGGCCAGTGTGCCTTGGCCTTGGACTGAAGCCTCCTCAAAAAGCCTCATGGAGGCATTCCATAGTTATCTCCTGCGTGCTCTGCTTCAGCAAGACTAGCATTGGGCAAAAAGAAGGTCATCCTGGCCCCAGCCTGGGGTTGGGGTACAGTGAGCTCCTGAGGGTCCACCTTTATCCATGGGACCCAGGTGGCCAAGGGCCACAGAAACCTTCCCAGGGTAACAGGGCATGTGTAGAGCACAGGCACGGGAAAGCCATTTGGACAGAGGCCTGAAAGCCAGGTTGTGTCTCCCAACAAAACCTTCCCTTCCACTCCCACTCTCCCAGCAGGAAACAGCAGGGAAGAGGCCACACCAGGGCTCCTGCCGTCTCATCCACAGTGAATGGAGAAAAGCGGATGCTCAGCAGAACTCCTGCTGGCCAAGCTGGACCCTTAGGATGCCGGCCATCCCCTCTGGACTTCCAGAGGACACTCACTGTTGGTGGTGCACCACATTGATAGACAGTGACAGCTGTGAAGCCTCTCTTTCTCTGAGCACCCCCTTCCCTGAGGGCCCCAGAGACCAGGTTGTGGTATCACAGGTCACCAGCCCAGAGTGTGCCATCACACGGGCTGCCAAGCTGCCAGGGATAAGCCCAGGTGCACACAGTGTACCTGCCACCCAGCTCCACAGTGCCCTTCCAGCACTGCCCCTTCCTAGCCTGATCCCAGGTCCTTCAGCTGGGACCCAGTGGGCCCAGGGCTGGGCTGCCTGGGCCATTCCTGGTGTGCTTGCTGGCTGCAGGCACTCTCCCAGCCTGTCTTCCTCTGCTGGCACAGGGCAGCCCAGGCTTGTAGCACAGGGTTCGTGCCTCAGGCAGGAGGGTGGCCAATGAGGCCACCCCCATCCCACTGTGGTAACAGAAACAGACGCTGTTTTTGCACATGCCTCTTGCGCTCCAGGTGCAGATCCCACCCCAAAGCACTCTGCAGGCCCCTCAGCCCAGCCTGGGCCACCACCATCCTGCCCTGCCAGCCTGGGGTTCCTTACAGAGAGCTCCGGGGCTAACATGTCCTGTGTACCCACACAGGACATGGGCTTAGAGCACAGGCCCTGCCAAGGAGCCTTCCCAGAGCTGGGGCTGCCTGCCAGCAAGAGGGAGGGGAAGGCACAGTGTTCTCCTGCCTGTGAGGACACAAGGGGAGGGTCTGTCAAGGACATCACTGTCCACAGGCCAGTCACCCAGACAGGTGCTGCTTCTGGCACCAAGGAGCCTCTCGCCTTCACCAAGGGCTCTTCAGCATGGTGGCCAGCAGGGTGTGCTTGGGACAGAACCTGAGATGAGGGATAAGCCACTCTCAGGGCACTCACTGCCTCAAGGAAGGGAGATCTTTCACCTTTCACACTCCCAGGGGAACACACACTGGTGGCAGCACGCGCTCCCTGCCCCACCAGACACTCACCCTGTTTTTGCAAGGAACAGAAAAGCACTCTGCAAGGCATGAATGCTCTCACTATCCATCCCACTCCGAACACACACAGGAATGTACAGCCCTTTGTATCAAAATTCAGGTGAGAGGAAGAGGACCTCACTGGCCTTTGTCAAACAGGAAGACTTTGTTCACTTCACCCTTGTGAGGAAGTCCTGCTTCACTGAGGGCACTCTGTCCTTTGTATCAAAATTCAGGTGGAGGAAAGGATGGTGACTGGCCGTAGCTCACAGAGGAAAGCCTGCGCTGGAACACAAGGGCATGACAGCCACAAGCCTGCTCTCCCAGGGGCTGCCCACACCAGGTACAAAGGGAGAGCTGGTGTCCTGGCAATAGCAGGTACTAGTAGGGGAAGAGAAGATCCTCCTCTCGGTTTAAATGGTCGGCAGGCTGCCCAGCTTGCAGCAGTCAGATACCAAATCAGAACACAAATGACAAAGGCGAGAAGGGCGCTCCGGTAACACCCCATCTTGGGACAGTTATGGACATGAGTGGTGACCCTGAGCGATGCTCATGGGGCTTCAGTGGATTCTCCCCTCTATCCTGCCATCACGTCCACAGAACATGAAGAGCCATACCCACAGAAAAGACAAGAGATGCAAATGTCTGCCCCACCACCCATCTCTCCGAGGACAACTCATCCAGTGGTGCAGCACCTGTGCCCCTTGGCCCAATTTGCCCACATTGTCATCTCGGGATGCATTTTCTTTGTTTGGCTTGCTCTCATGGAAACTCCCTCTCTGAATGCACCGCTTCTTCTGCCCTGCAAAAAAAGCAGCCCCAGCAGCAACGGCCCAGGCGTACCTTCCTGAGAACAGCTTTTGGGATGTAACTAAGTATGTCTCCCACATCAGTATCAGGGTTCAAGAAAAGAGCAGGCCTGACAGCATCTGCGGAGAGGAAACACACACGGTTGCTGTGGGAAGATGGGACTACGAGCTGTTGGAAAGCAGGGGCTAGCACTGGCAACAGGGGAGAGACTCCTGCGTTTGCTTGTGTTGCCACCTGCAGGTGCTTAGGGCAGGAAGGAGATGGCAGCAGCAGCAACTGCCCCAGATGATGCACAAGAGGGCCAAAAGCATGACTGCTAACTGAGAGGGGAAGAGGGGAGCGGTAGTTCATCCCTGACCCCTGCAGCAGCCAGGCCCCACGTTTCCAAGCAAAACCAAAACAAGGTGAATCTGGCACTCACATTCGTTTTCCGTGAAGCAGCACTTCTCCTTCTGTGGAAGCTTGTCTAAAACATTTTGGCATTCCGACAGAGACATCTGGTTCATGCCCGTAACCTGAAGGTACACAGAAGGAAAGCACTTGACACTGGCTTCTCCAGGAGTCCCAGGGGACAGATCCTGCCCTCCACTGTCACTGTCCAGAAAAGGGGAGAAGAAGCCTATCTGGCTGGACAGGACAGCAGTGCTTCCTCAGAAACACTGGAGCTGAGCAGACGTCTTCCAAGCATCCCCCAGCTGTCAACAGCTCCGTGACCCACGGAGGACACTGCTGGTGGGGCCAAAACTCTTCCAGTGCCTCCTGACCCCTCAAACGAAGCAAGCCCAGCCCAGAGTTACTCCTAACATAGAAGGACAAGAGCATCAGCTGCTCTCCCCTTTCACAGCTACAACTCTCTCCACATTCAGCTCTTCAGCTTTCTGAGGCCTCCCTCCTTCAGGTCCAGGTCCTCAGAATGGCTCTAGATGCTGTCCCATCCACCTACCTTCACAGCTGTTTTGCCCGCAATATGGCTGGTTCTGAGCCTGTGCTTCTCACATAGCTCCCAGCAGGAGGCTGAGAGGACAATTTCACCTGCTTCCGCAAGCTTTTCGGCCTCACAGACATCCTCCAGGGCCTTGCCAATGACACAGAAGTACTGCTGCCTCTCGTCTCCAAACCTCAGGTGGTGCATATTCCCTGCAGAGATCCCTGGGAGAGAGAGAGGGAGAAGCAGAGCTCTACAGCCTCCAGCAGTTCAGCTGTTCAGAAGCCAATCTGAACCCCAGCGGGGAGATGGTCATTATGGAGGGGGAGGGCATCCTCCATCCTTCTCGAGGGGCTACTGACACAGGACCCTTAAATGGGTGTTAAGAAACAGACAAACCAAGTGGACAGTGACACTGTGTTGAGAGTGCTGGCTGTCTTAAC